ACATCTCTTTAGTCACTATTACAAATACATATTGCTATCAGCAGGGGCGAGTAATTCTGTCTTTGCTTTATATTTAGATTCCATTAGACCATAGTTGCCATCGTCTGAATAGATGCAAGTTTAAAACGCCGGTTTATTGTTGTCCTATAGTTTAGATAGTTGTTAACAACATTATCGATCATTTTAATCAATTTCTTCGGCAAGCGTTATCGATTGAATTGTCTTGGTCAGATCCATTAATATTATCGTTCGGTAATTAATTTAGCTAGATTAAATAAAATCAATTTAATGTAAAAGTAATTGTTTGACACTAATTACTATAACTTGCTTTGACGGTGATTCTACTTACTGCAATGCCAATAGAAAGGTTTTCTAAACCAGTATCAGCTTCGATACTATTCTAAGACCTAGACAACGTTTTATTAATGACTTTCTTTTTCATAATACCTATTTTATGTCTGTAAAATATCCATTTACGTCATCGTCCTTATTTAAACTCGGGTTGGTATAACATTAACCGCAATATTACATCGACATCATGGCTTTCTTGAACAAGGATTCAATTATGTCCAATTTTTAAGATACCAATTTAATCATTTTATATCATTAGTTGTACTCAATAGGAGAATTTGGACTAAAGTATGCTTGTCTGCTATCCTGCACCTATTCTTTACGCTATACTAATCTGTCATGACATTACAGTTTTGCATAGTAACTATAATATCTATTGAATAAGTTATAAATATTAATCAATCTAATATCGTAACTTTCTCACTATTTAATATAATAGTAGCAATAATAATTAGTAAAAGTATCGATAACTGTATGTTAAACATGTTGTTCTAGGTCGCTCACGTTGCACAGAAAATGAATACTGTTGAGGCTTGCGCTGCTGCTGCCCAAGATGAGGTAATGTTATTAAAATCCATATCGAAATTTCACTAACTGACCATATTTTAAATCAGAGTCGTTTAGGGAATACCAAAATTAACAAAGTCGCATTTCTCTATATTATATCAGTATTACTCTTTCGTATCAATTGCGCGGTCAGATAGATAATCTGTAATCGAATCTAAATTCGTATGATCAACTTCCTTTCATGATTCTTTCGAATGGAGATATTATAGTTTTTTCCTGACCCACATTTTACGCTTTAGATTCACATTAATTTAAGTTTAGTGATATCAAAATAAATTAAGACAACATATAGGACAGCCTAAACGAACTACAATTAGTCGTTATTTTAATTTATTAAAAAAGTAACCGTCTATTTTGCTATCAAATATTAGAAATGATATTTTCACTGATTTTGGTACTTAGTGCCGATATTAACGTTGAATTAGTTTAATAAATTTTTTAAACGAAACCCTTGTTCATGTAGTTAGTTGATCACAAAATTAGACTTCCATAAATGATAGTAATCGTTATTCAATAGCATCATTTAGTTGCATTTATGGATAGATTTTAAAGTCTCAGTTTAGTCTGGCGCTTTGCTTCCTCATATAGATACATTTCTTAGTGTAGTATCGTACTGTATTTTTCAAGGAACGGCTTTTAAAAGTATAAAGTAAAATTAATTACTACTCAATACACTCCATATATAGAAAGAACGGAATGGTGATGCATTTACTATAGGAGAACGATAGATCTACGTTCATTCTTTCTTTTATATGTGTTAACGTTGACTTTCTTCAATTGCTTATTAGATGGATGATCTTAAGAATGAATGTGATCAAAAAGATGATCTTATTCACCATCTTATGAAGAAAATTAATGCATCTGTATGACAAAATATCCAGTAGCTAGTCACGCATTTTTATTGATTTCTATTTTACGTAGACAATAACGTTACTCTTGTATCAAATATCATGAAAACCGAATTTTCTGCTTTTTTCCTACAGGATAAATCTCTAGCTCCCGTCAAGGCAACCCAAAGGCTATCAGATACATGGCAACTATCGGAAACGAATGGTAATAATAATCATCCGTTTTATATTGTATTGAATGGCATCTAAAAAATTATCAGTAGGATAATTTTGAAATTCTTTCTTTTCAATTTTTTAATGACCCATTTTACGATACCTTATGAATGAAATACCATAGTATAATGTAGAAAATATTATTCTCTTATCGTTGAAAAAAATGAAATACCTCTCAGACAATCAGGAAAGCGATATAATTTCGTCTGTTAGAGAGTTTAATACGCCCTATTCATCGTAACTATTTGTTTTGTTTTTATTTCAATAGACGACGAATATGTTGAACAAGGGTTACCACCACCGCCCGCAGCATTGAAATCAATCAAAACTAACGCTGCTAAAAATAAAGTGGATAGCTTGGATGATTTTTTAAAGGTTTTTGCCCAAGAAATATCTGATATTGCAACTACGAATGATAATACTAACAATAATAGTAGAGGCGGTAGTTCTAATGGAATCTCTACCGGTACAAATCATTCTTATAAATTAAAGCGTGATAATAAAGATTTAAAATCACCGAGATCCGTATCAAGGCATCCTCAACACCAACCTAGACTAGAATCCACTCCCATTCATAACAATCATCATAACAATAATCATGACCATAACGGAGAAGCCAGACAAGAAAGGATACTAGCAAATCGTTTAGCGTCCCCATTAAGCAGCCGTAGTAGTGTTACTGATGAAGAGCGCAATGGCCATCATCGATCTGATGAATTGGATAATGTTTCCATAGCGTCTTCTGCCTTACCCGGAATGTTATCACCAACCAATTTAACACCAAGGAAGAGTTCACTATCGACGTTATCTGGAAGGAATACTTCATCAGCATCAACTACACCTAGAAAAAATACCGCTACATCTTATACGTCAAGAGAAGGGGACGGATCTAATTCAGAAGCATCCAATCCTACCCATAGCGAACCAACTTCCAAAAAACGTGTTAATCACGTTGGTCGAAGTAAATCTGTGGTCAATAATAATGATAGAAGAAGAAGTACTAGTCTGTCTAGAAAATTGCCACCGGTATTTCCATTTTCAGAATTATTATCATGCTTACACTTATAATCGATTTAAGCCCAAAGTTAACATAAACTTGCTGTTAATTGTACGAATTGTTAAAATGAAGATGTTTTTGTATATTGTTCTGACATTGCAGAAAGAAAATGGAGTTAAAGACACAAGTAGAACATTACAAGGTCTAAATATCACCTTACCTGATACTTATAAAGGTACTAGTCACTACAGAACTTTCCGATCTATATGCTGCAATTGAAATTTCAGTTTGTTACAAAAGTAACATTAGCAATATCTAGGCTAGAATGGCAGTTGTGATTCCGTTATAAATTTTAATGTCTTTAGTTTTAAATGTTTACTGAGTATCTCGTTGCTCCTATATCCTCATCCAGATAATGCCTTCCCTCTAGATGATATTAAGAAATATGGTAGCGCTCATCGGGTAAATAACACTGCAAAATAATTACTTTAAATAAGATGGAATCACTATGTTATCAGGCTGAAAGTTAGACAGTTAATTAATTCGATTTGGTTTGTCAATAAGAATTTATAGTATAAGGTACCATAGTAATATTACCTAATTAATATATTAAATGCTTTTCTACATCAAGAAAATAAAAGGGATTAAACCTAAAATGACGCAACCTGGTGAGCTTCTAGCAGATGAAAGTGCTATTGCAGCAAGTACCATTAGTGAATCTACATTTGGCCATCATTACGTAACACAAGAAGATTTTGAAGTAGATGCCATTAATACATTGAGGCAGATTCGTCAGAAATCAGCAGTCAGTGATGTATGTTATATCTAGATGTTATGCGATTACATGCAAATTTTTCAGGATTGAATTAATTACCATAAACTAATATGTAATTTTGTGTGATATATTTATTCATTAATTTACAGTATTTAGCATATAGAATCTAGTGTTGATTACTTATTCATAACTATAAATTCTTTTTTAGGAAATATGTGAAATGACAAGTTATTTAAATAAGTGTAGCTTTAAGACTAAGAAATGGAAAAGAGGATTCTTCGTATTAAAGCATGGCAAATTACGCTACTATAAATCCCATGTAAGTAATTGTATTTATGTATAATAACTGAAATATCGATTCATGATGTAGTAATACTAAGTAGCATGCTGTAATATACATATGATTAGGACTTTGTCAAAGTCCTAACTCATATTTTTTCCTGCTCTTTTATATATAGTCACAGCTAATTTTCATTCAATCATTTATAGCAAATGTATAGCGATTGTTATTCTCTCGTTATCATGTTGAAAAACTTCAGTTAAAGTAATATTAATTCTTGATATTTGGGTCCTATTGATAGACTGAAGTATCCAAGAAGCCTAAAGGTTGTATCTTACTGAATGAGATAGACCATGTTACGCGTGCTGATGGCACCAATAATATCGAGGTTAGATTTTCTGATAAGGATAATAAATATTATGGTAATAATTGCCGGTTGCCAAAGTATATCATTTTCTAAATATTTCGATTTTGGAAATTAGCCCGTAATTACTGAGATTTTAATTAGATTAGTTAAAACACTTTTATTTATCTTGCTAATAGATCGTTGCAGGTGGTCGCTCATACCTCTTGTCAGCAGACACAGCAATCCTAGCCGATAAATGGATAAAAGGTTAAAAACAAATTTTAGCTAGCGCGTACGATGAATGATCTACTGCCGTAATTTGAAATAATATAATCACATTTACGATGCTACCACATAATTTTACTAATAAGAATATCAAAAGCAGTAACTCTATACTAAATTTATGCAATAATTGGATAGTATTTCGTGAAAATTTAAAACAAAGCCATGATAGTCAACATCAATCTGCGAGAGATATGTTAGAATCAGAAACTACAGCGTACCATGGTTGGTTGCACAAGGTAATTTTTGCAATCCTACAATTTCTAATTTATTTCTAATTATCTGTTTGAGACGATGAATAAATTGATTTCTTTTCACTCAGTATTAAATCATATTTTCAGGTCAAATTGGGAAGAACTAGAAAATGCTGGTGCCAAGTCACTGAAAATACCTTCTTCTACTTCAAAAATCAAGGAGATAAGGTTAGTAATAGAATAGTGATGTATTAGATTGAAAATTTCTTATATATATGGGTATATCGTAGATCGTAAATGATTAGTTAATGGGATAGGACTAATCGTTATTGCGTTTTTGCATTAATTAATCTTCAATTAACATTAATTCAGATCCCGTTGGGAATAATACCTTTGAAAGGCGCGAGCGTGCATGATATTGAACGAGAATCGGAATCGGATATTGAATGTAACGATGAGCAAATGGGTGGAATCGCGAGTAATTTTACAATTGCTATCGATCCTGTCGATCAACCGTCGACCTATATATTAGTTCAGGGAGATAAAAAAGAAAAGGTGAGATGGAGGGAGGATCAATTCATATCAAATTATTTGCAGTTTCTCAGAATCGCGGTAATTTATAGTGGTTCATATTTTACCGTGTATAGTGTATGAGTTATAACGACCTTTATAATTATTCCAAATTGTCTTGATCAAGAAATTGCCATTATTATCAGTTGCTGAATAGTTGTATTTGACGTTATGATAGCTGCCGCACTTAAATTTGCGTGTATATCTTACAACCCGACGAAATTAAAAATTGCAGCATTTAATTTGTATTACATCATTCTGACGATTGTCTTGATTACAGGATAACTGGTTATATCACATCGCTCTAGCTACCGGCAATATAGAAGAGTACATTGGTAGCGAATACGAGAAGCTAATGCTTAGAAGTCTAACATCCAATTTAGGTTAGTGCGCTTTAAAGGAATTAAATTAGATAATCAGTCTTACCATGTTAACAGTACAACCTCCAGCAATGTGGCGCGAAATGAGCTAGTTATAATTAATAGTAAAAATATATCCCTTACTTTGGACGATAGATTTCGGCTTATGGAAACATCCTATAATGTGCCATACCAAAGAACCTATTAGGAAACCATTGACAACTTTACCCTCTGAGCCCCTTCAAAAGGAAGCAATGCTACTTTTTAAGGTTATTAATAACAGTTAATTAATGTATTGTCTAGTAAACAAATTGACTATCTCAAGTATGGCAAGGCTATTTTGAAATCTCTTTTATACTTGCTTGATATAAGGAATATGTGGAAATATAGAACTGGATATCTTCCGTATCTATAAATTAAATTTATTATCCTTAAATTGTAGTCGCTTCAGTTATACACCAGCGCTGAAATAGTCCATAATGCCATTGGCTATCATGTTTCCCTAATACAAAATACACTCAAATCTTGCTGGAAACAAAAACAACTACAAAACGAGTTTTTCTGTCAGCTAATTAAGCAAACATCCAATCTTCCAAATGAAGATCCACCCTATGTTGTAATTCAGGTGAAGTATTTAAAACTCTAAGTCTGATTTGTGGATAATAGGTAACAATTTTTGCATTATATAAAATATGTATTATGGATCGATAAATTATATTTAGTAAGAGGCTGTCAACCTGAGCTGACTGATATCTTCTTTTGTTTCCTATATAGTACTGGCAATTTCTATTCTTTGCAGTAGCACTTTTCCCACCAAAAGATAAAATTTTACAATTTCTTCAGCTACATTTGTATAGAAGTGCTGATGAAACTTCGAATTCAGGTCGTTGTGCGATTTACTGTCAATACATATTAAATCGTGCTCTAGAAAATGGAAGTAGGCACTGTTTTCCTTCGAAAGTCGAAGTAAGTTCTAAGTAGCAATAAAAAAAAAAATTATTTTCTTCCTTCATTGCAAGTTTGAATTTTTCATTAAAGGATTTAAGATTTGCCAGTTACATAGAGATCGTTTATGAGTGTGATATAAATTATTCCATTCTATTCAATCAGATAGATAGAACTATAAACAATCACTTTTTTTACTGTTTATGCCAGTAATATAACTGTAATGATTATGTTGTTGACATATTCACTTGGAATCCAATACGATATCATCATGATTGAGCACACCTATCTCTTCCTTTAGATTACTGCTGTTCTCATGCAAGGTATGCAAGATAATCAAGAGCCTATATCTCTGTCAATACACTTAACCAATGGATTGAAACAGGTAAGAACAGAAATTGTTGATTATATGTAATTAATTAATACCTAATACCGTCTCTATCTATGAATTTTAATTATCACATTAGGATGTACATTTTGATAGCTGTTCAACAATCGCAGAAGTTACGGAACGACTCGCGACGGTAAAATTACTAATTATGTTCGAATTAAATTTAGTACACATATATTAAAATATTGATCATTTAACAATCTATATTAGGAGATTGGTATCAGGAAGCCATACTTAAGTGGGTTTGCTTTATATTGCGATAATCCTTGGAAGACAAATGATATGGAATACTACTTACAGCCATCTTTAAAGGTCAGTAGATTACATTAACAAGTGTTGTGTCCAGTTAATAATCATCAGATTTATTAATCATTTAAGATTTGCGATGTGATGTCAAAATGGGAGCAAACTTATAGAGAAGGGCATTCTGGAAAGTTAGATACATCCCATGTGATAAAGTTTCACTTTAAAAATAGGTAACAATATGATCGTCAACATTTAATAACGTGCATACATGCTGCCGTACTTAAATAAGTAGATAAAGTTCATTTTGTTGATATAATGAAAAATACAGGTACTATCTTAAAAGCCTGGTTAAAGATGAAACTGAGATGGAAAGATTACTGTTGATTTATCAAGTTAGTAGAGAATATTTTGAATTTAAAGAACATATAGTAATTAAAGTTTATTCCATTATCATTGTTAATAGGTTAGTAGCGAAGTTTGTAATGGAAAATTTCGCGTTAATAAAGATTTAGCCTTGGAATTAGCAGCATTAATGGCTCAGGTTTGCTTTGAAAGTTTATTAAAAAATGTGCTGAATTCGTAATGTGAGATAATATCATGATGTAATTTATTTCTAATAATCTGTTATTTCTAGATCGAATTTGGAGATTATAAACAGACATCTGACAGTAATTTAAAAATGATAACTTATAATCAACAGCAACTGTTAGAGGTCTTGGATAGATTCTATCCAAAACAATTCAAAGCAATTTCTGTTGATGAAATGAAGTAAGATTGAAAGTTTTGATCTTGATTTACTTTAATTCAATAGCTTCAAGTATACTTGTTAATTAATTAACTTCACTCTTTTATAGGATACTGTCTCGTCAACTAGCTGAAAAGTGGTCAACCTTATGTAATCGGACAAAAAAAGACTGCATCAAAATTTATATTACTGTAGTGAGAAGATGGCCCCATTTTGGTAGTAAAATTTATAGAGTCAAGGTAAGTAAGATTATATCTTGATAAATACGTTAGTATCATATCATTTGGTGATAGCAATAACCGTAAATAACTAATTGTGGAAACTTAATATTTATTATTAATCAAACGATTTAGCAACGTGTCAGTACCGAAGAAGTAGCTATTTGCTTAGCAGTACACGAAAATGGTTTCAGCATACACCACGATACTAGCCTAGTAATAAATTTTCTAAATACATTCAATTCATGTTTTGAAACTCTATTTCCATTTAATTTACGTACATTTTCAATTTGCTTAATGCTTTATTTTGTATTGTATTGTAATTATTATAGAGACCTATCAATTCCTATTCATTTGAAACAATAATATCGTATATATGTAAAGGAAGAGATTTAATTATAGTAGTTGATCAGCATCTTGATATTAACGTGCGATCACCAGAAAGCAGAACACAAAAGTTAACATTTGTGATGGATAAAAAAGAGGAGGTTATTTGATAGTTACACTTGTATTCCTTTGTCTGAAACTAATGCTTAGATAATAATTATTAATAATTATTGCGATATATAGGCTACGGAAGTAATATGGTTGATAGCAGGATACATCAGTATTACGAAGGCCAACAGAGGGACAACAGAAGATAATCAAAGAGTGTCTGACTCAATAGCTCTTCATCGTGATGACCAGATCATGAATAACTTATTTCAAAGTTAATACAAATTCCAAATTTTAAAATTTCTATTACACTTGTAAACCGTTATATCTTAAAAAAATTATATAGCATATCTTGATTGGCGTTCTACTGTAGTAGGATCGTCAATAATAGCACCGCTATTTCTATCCACAGATAAATTATATCGGTCTTTTGATAACCGTTAAGTTATTAGTCTAATTTGCAACTATATACATTTATGAATAACCACTTATAAATTTAGATATTCTAAGGCGTACTTTTTTAGACTTTGTCACCTTGGACTTACTCTCTATTAAGTTGCGGTAGCGTTAACGATGGTGGAATATCTTTACAGTATAAGCCTTTCAAGCTTCTGTGCTTGCAGCAATAGGAATATCAAAAACCTGAAATAATAATATTTTATTTCCGAAATACTATAACCCGCTACTGTATAAAGTAATGATCATATTGATTATTTAATATTGATTTATTAGCAGCTACTAAATCTGGCTGACTGGTGTTGCTAAACCTATGAGATGATTGTTTTTTACGTTGTTAAAATATTTTGAGTGACTACCGCTAGAAATTTTTCCTCTTAAAAATCTAATATAACTATATCGGAGGTTCTCATAACTATTATTTTTATTTTATTTTTGAAATCGTCATATCCATTCTAGAAAACATGTATACGAAGTGTATTCGCATGTGCTAAGCATTTGGAGTTATCATAAATTATACAAATAATTGTATGAGCTGTTATCTATCACAGCTTTTACTGTAGGTTTTGTGGCCTTCCTGATGTATTTAATACTATGATAAAGTTATTGGATGCTGATACGAATTGTTCACGGCATTGTCTTCCATAAAGGTGTAGGAGTATACTTGAAGAGTTGCTATCTTTCAATGTTTGTAAACTTACTACTTTCTAGCGAACTAGAATTGAAATAATGGCTCCGATGAAACAGGATACTGATAAATAATTCAGAACACAACATATGCATTTTGTTCTCATAGCATCTCTCTTTCGGATATTGTGATAAAATTTAAAGCTTTCCTATAAACCGAATTCTATAAGGAAGTGCCCTTGTGTTAAGTTAAATATTTTTTAGGTTTAGTACGATTGATTTATTTTGAACAGAAAAGCTACTTCTATGGTGATACCAGTGTATTACGACAATGGCAGTACTGTTATCCAGCATTTAAATCGCTTTTGAATACACCTTATGGCCATTAGTGGTGTCATTATAGTACTGCAATTACATGTACGCTATAGATATAACTATATAACCACGCATGGGGAGGTTGATTCTGCGTTAATTTATGATATGGCGTAAATGTTGTTTATCATGCTTCTTAATAGAAGATATCAAAATTACAAAATTTAGAATTTTCTAACATTTAAATGAGAGACTATGTATACTGCAATAATGAATAACTTTATCAACATCAATCCCCCGACTGTACAGTCTCATCATTATTGGAATTTCCATTACTCGTTTCACTTTTCGGCTTTAAAAGGTTGTTTCTTTTTAAGTAGCAAGCTGTCTTGTAAGGAGGATCTATGGGAGCTTGTGTTGGAGGGAGCTGTTTATAATCTTCAGTCTTCTATTTGAAAAATATAACACTACGGTAATAGTAGAAACGAAAAGACTTCTTGTATTGTAAAGAGAAGACACAAACCTGCAAAGGATAATTCATGTCTGCATCATAAGCACTTAAATCACCGCATGCAACAAACGGGATAATTATCTGATTTTCTTCTTGTAAATCAATAAAGCTAAGTTCTTTATCAAAAATTTTTTGATTAGTAAGCATTATAACATAGGATTTGAAGAAAAACATTCAATATTTTGTACCATAGTCATTGTTTAACAAGGGATTAGTCATCGTTGGTGTGAAGCCTTCAGGTTGGCTGTAATTTCTGCAAACTACAAATGCTTCTACAATGTGAAAGAAATGTTAAATTAATGTTTTATTAATGATTTAGCTAAAGTAAGGAATCAATAGTATTGGATGGCCACTTGTGAAGCTTAGTTAGTATGGCTATTATATATCATACCAATGCTCGAATTTCGGGAACTTCGAGGCTTACTAATTGTAACATTCGGAAAAAATACTCTCAGCTGAGAATACAATAATGATACATCTTTTCCGCGAAAAATCTTTAAACGTAAAAGCAAAATGATTTTGTTGCCTATTACTTGCACGTCTCGAGTCATTAACACGGGTAGCCGGTTCATATTATTTTGATGTAATACAATAAATTAGGAAGCAATAGTACCTTTGCAATAAAAGTGCCACCTGATTTAAGGACGTGATTCGTGATATTTAATGCCTAAATAATCATAAATTTGGGTCAAAATGGAACGCAAGATCAGTATTAAGTAAATAACGTTTATTAGAAATCAGAAGTTAATTGGATAGATGAGGACAGTTTACTAATTCCTACTTACAGCTAGTAGAAGTTGTGCTTGAAAATATTCATCTAAATCATGCTGTCCGGTAACTTAAACCAGAATTGAAAGTTTTAATTTTTACTTTAGCGCTACAGTACAAAATTTAATTCGCTTTAATAATCTCAAAATTCAGATAAAACAGGTAGTTGTTACCATCTGGAGCACCATCGCAGACTACCAAGTCCGCCTTTTCTCCCTCAAAATAGTCAATGATTCGATTAGCCGTTGATACCTGATTTCCAAATTATAGGACATACCATTAGACTGCACAATCAAATTTGATAGTAATAATAATACAACAATAATTCGGCCTTAATATCTTAATAATAATTTATTTTTAATAGTCTACTAGTAAGAAACTAAAAACGTAAGAGTTAGAATAGATCGTACAATAATATTGTAATATAACGTTAGCATACGCTGGTAATATCTCCTTGAATCTGTATAACTCCATCCAAAGGAGCCATGGCTTGTAAATCAACAGCAACAATCTTTACTTTGCTTTGTTCTGCTTCAGATAGGTTTTCTTGATTTCTAATTTTGATATGTCAAATAAATACGACGATACACTCTTTAATAAAATTGCTTGGACAATGATATTGTGTATGTCCTCTTGTGCAATGTACACTGTACAGTCTACACATTATTAATCACCTTAATTTCTTGCTTAGTACTTGACTCCAGCTTCCTGGAGCGGCGCATAAATCCACAGCTCGCGTTACGCCTGAATATCAAATTTAGTGACTGATTTAGAAGTAAAATCTTGAACGACTGTACCTAATGATTTACATGCATGCATGCAGTAGCATGAACCAGGAAAAGCAACTTTTCTAGTAGTCCTTGGCTGTATACTGTACAACCATTATAAAGATCTGTATAGTTATAAAACATTTAATATTTATATGTACTAAGAATTCTATATTAACATAAATGATATACTATACCAGCAATTACGATTTACTTAAACGGTATAATATGGTGAATGATTTACGCCTTTAATTCAATACGCGTGATGATGATTGCACGACATGCATGTGCATGCAGTATATTGCAAGTATGAATGTCATCATTAACATAAATACGAGTACACGTATAGTCGAAGTAAGGTTTTTCTGGTGACCGCTAAAGAGCCTCTTGCACATAAATATCTCAGCTACCTATAAGAGCTTATTGTATATCATCGTTCGTCTCAATAATAAGAGTATCCGATGTACTATTCATCTCTGCGATCATATGAAAGGAAGTTCTTCACTTTGTGGTATCTGCTGACTATACAAAGACAATCGAATATGTACTGTACTGTATATGCAGCAAAGTAAGTTGATTGGATAGTATAAACCGATACTATCATCTAAACTTTGTAAAACTTCAATTTAGAGCTATACTATGAATTGCTAGATATACCTAGCAGTCACTAGAGGTACATTACCCGTATTTGCTGCAAAATTGACTCAAATCATCAGAATGTGGCGATAGGCTATCGAGAATTCACCTTTAAATATAGTAAATTCTTCATCAATTTGTAATAGTTTAAATGCACTTCTGGCCCTCCAGCCTTCTTCCTTTGCCTGCCTGTAATAAATGTCCCTTTTATCCTTAGATGATTTCCCCATGTTTCGGCAATTCTACATGCTTCAATGAGCTTCTACAGTATTTAGTGATGGTTGAACAAGCCAATCTGCCTGGAAAGTAAAATCGAGTACTAATGTATTTGTTGTATAGTAGGTCAATAGCTTTCCTAGTAGATTGCTGTACCGTATCATACTGTGTAATACACTTCATAGACAATCTTGTATGAGTTGTACCGTATCATAGGTACATGTACAGTAATGCAAGTTTTCGTCCGAACGTACGCCCGCATGTCTGTCTGTACTCAATTTGCCTCGGTGTCGGTCGGGTGACCAAATGCAAACATACTAAAAAGAGTGAGTGTTGTACTGTACTGTACACTCAGTGTACAGTACTGGACGATTCGAGGTTCTTCAAGGATTTCTTCAGCAAGCGCAAGATTTAAAATCAAATTGGAAAGGTGAAAAGTAGATCCAGACTCTATATAAATTTACGACTGAATTCCTGTTGCAGTTGAAAACATTATAGAGCCTTTAAAATACTACATTTACTTTATAGTATAGTAACGACGGCAGCTATTTCTGATCATTTCTGATGTGGAGAATTTAAGTGTGATTCTGCCCTTAGCTTGAAATCATGGATGTCAAGAAAACGTTAGGTCTATTAAATGGGATATCTAAACGCATGTACTATAATGAATCTATTGAGAACGATTACCTTCACGAGCAAATATTACCAAATAGTTCAATCGCTGAATTTGAACAAATTGTAGATAAATACAGCAGCCTACTTCAAGATATTGTCATTAATGATGTCGATGTGAATGATCTGGGAATAAAGTTGAAACAAATGCAAGAGAACAATCAGTTAAGTCCTGATGAATGTAATGGTATCACTAAGTTTTGGAAAGTTAATCGGATAAAGCTGCATGATGTATTAATTCAGCAATCACTTTGGGAAGACAAATTAAAAAGTTTTAGCTGGCGAATTGACGTGTCTGCTCAATCGAAAAGTATTGATAAAATCAATAAACCCACGGCTATTGTTGAACTAAAGTCTAAATCTCGGTTACATGATCAGGTAATGCTAGTAAATAATCTCCATGAAGCTATTAAGGGCTGATATTGAATGCTATGATTTCGGTGCAGCGATTCTTTAAATGTTGATTATCCGTGTCTGATGATGTTGCAGGGTAGCGATTCTGTATTGTTTGAGATGGATCAAGAGCAAGTCCAAAAACTGCTAGCCGGGATCTCAGATATTGAAGAAACAATAACTAAGTACAGCCAGCCATGATTGCGTTCATTCTGTTCAATGCAAATACGGTATTATTTTTATATTCTCTAAGCGAGCGGATGAATTTTATATTGAGATATTAAAAACATATTACATTGTAAATTTTAATTTAATTGAAGTAGATATGTAAGAATTTGTAAATATAGAAATATTACTGTTTAGAATCTTGCGGAAATGTCTTATCTATGGTAGCTCATTTTCAGTAATTTTCCTGAAATTTTCTAATACATTATAACAGCAGACTTAGTCGACATTTTTTCCCTCGTTGTAATAACGCACTACCTTTGTTAATTGCATATTTTTCTTAATAAAGAGTAAAGAGTATTATAAGTCTTACTCACTGCCTACAGAGAATTAAGCTTTAATTAGTGATTTGATTTTACATCCCCTACAACATTGTAATTAGTCGAACTTGCAATCACGGCGTGTACGGTATGTATTGTACTGCAGTATTGTTAAAGCATAGATTATTTCATTAGATTCGACCATTATCTCCAAGCATTCTTTCAGCTCTCTTTAAACGGTATTTTTCGGAATGAAAGATTGCAGTACAATATATGAATTGTTATTAAACCTACCTCTTATTGTAGAGATCTACACTTATTACTCACTCGCTTGAGCAGATATTTATCTGACATTGCGAGTTAGTTAATGGAGACTTTGTGAAGTTTCACATCTC